TATTAATCATTTCAGCTGGAGAGTTCCACAGGGGGCTGTTTTGGCCATGCTGTTTTTCAGCATCTAAAAGAAAAGAGATTTGAATGACAGAAGAAACCATAAGCTTTAAAAATCTCTGGCTGATGGATAGCTGGGCAGGATTGCAAGTGCTCCAGAGGATAGGATTAAAATTTACAAAAATCCTAACAAATTATAGCAATTTATACAAAACAAGAGTGTGGAAGAAAAGTACAAGGATGCCATGACACAATGCACAAATTAAACAAAAATAATTGGATAGACTGCAGCAACACAAAATTTTAATGTAGCGTAATATTAAAATTTTTTTACAACATAGACAAATTCTTTAATAAATCCCACACTACTGCTTGTTGCGCCATCAAAATTTCACGACCTGTTCAAGCATACCATATCTCCTTTCCTGATTTCTCTATGCTCACGGTACTGCTTTTAAAGGCAAGTAGTGAAGGGGAAAGTGAGGATTCACACAGGCAAATAATAACAAGCTCTGTGTCTGAACATCATCAACACTGGAATCAAAGAGCATCTGCCTTGAAGGTCAGGTATAACCATTCCAGCATATAAACATTCCAGCATAGAAACAAAAGGAGCTAACAAATTAACACAGCAAGGAAAAATTTGTCTGTAACAGAAAACTTTTGACAGTATTGTCATGTAATGGATACAGGATCTTTGCTGTGGTTGGGAATCCCAAACTGCAATGTTACGGTGACAAGGCTGGATGGGTTTTCAGTATCTGCCAGGAAATGTATATGTGTTGTAATTAATATAATCTCCATAAAATAATTGAATTGCATATGGGTTTGTGGTTTTAGGCTTTGATATATGAACACCTGTATTTACTTACAAACCAGAATATTCCTTCAGGAGAATTAGAAAAAAGGATTCTATAATTTAATGGAACTTTTCAATTTCTTCAGGAGGCATGTTTTGTGTCTTTTGAAGAAATGTTATGAGATTGACAAAGGTTATGATTCAGCAACAATAGAAAAATGTTGTGAAATGTCTGTTGTCGGAATATTACAAAAATTAAAACACACAGATCAAACATAAAATTGGGAATAATAACATTTGGCATTTTTTTAAAGTGAAGGAGACACAGATATCAGGAAAATTACAGAGCAGTCCTAAATACAATGCATTCCTACTGTTCTTATATTAGGTTAAACTCAAATCTGTTTCCAGTTTTGAAAGAACTAGACAACACAATAGTCTATGTAACTATTACTGATCTCTTTTACATTATACTATTTTTCTAAAAATCTAAGAAATGGGAAAGGATCTTGTATTCATAGAATAATAGAATCATTAAGATTGGAAAAGATTTTAAGGCTAATCAAGTCCAACCTTTCACCAAGCACTGCTATGTTCCCCACTAAACCATTTGCCCAAGCACCGCACCCCACATGCTTTTGAACACTTCCAGAAATGGTGCAGCCCTGAGCAACCTCTTCCAGTGCCTGACCACCCTTTCAGTGAAGAAATTTTTCCTAATCTACAATCTCCCCTGATGAAACTAGAGGCCATTTCTTCTCTTCCCATCTCTTGTCACCTGGGAGAAAAGGCTGATCCCCCGCCTCACTACAACTCCCTTTTAGGCATTAGCAGACATCAGTAAGATCCTGCTTGAGCCTCCCTTTCTCCATGAAAAAAATTTAATATAATTTAGACATGAAAAAATAACTAGATATTGGTGCAAAAATCTAATTTACACTTAAACAAAATGTTTAAAATTTCTCCTTCATTGTCCATTTGGAACACCCTTAACTTTTAATTTTGTCCTCCTTTTGGAGTAGGTATCTCAGGATGCTAATAGTGGGAGTGAAATAAAATTTTGGACAATGTTTTTCCTAGGATTGGATTTAATTTTTCAAGTCTTTTGATACTTGGCAAAACCTTTGCAAAGAAAATTAGAATTAATGGGTGGTAGTAATACACACTGTTGGAATTCCTTCTGGAATTTGTCTTCGTATTCATCATCATAAAGTAGAGGAAATTATTTTCTATGCTGAATTATAAACAGTATTTAAAATTCTAATTGCAAAAATACCTTTGAAAACAACATTTTATTCCCTTCCCTTTTTTTTAACCTGATCTGTTGAAAAGGAAGTATAGAATCATTGTCCAGTACTGAGTCATCATGGAGTGATAGTTATTGCCTGGTAGTTCATATGGTGCCTTTTAAAAGGAGGAGGTATGAAAGGACTTTGAAAATGAAATAGTCTACTTAGTTAATGAACATTACCAGTGGTTTTTACTGAAGTGATAATCCCAATAGAATAAAGCATTTTCTTATTATAATAGCCTCTTTCTTGTTTTCTAAAGTTGTGATGATTGCAGGTTTGGTGAAATTTAAACAATTTTGTAAAAATAAGCTTTAAAAACTTGACAGTTATTGAAGAAACATCCTATAATAGTGGAAACTTGCTAAACATTTAAATTATTGCTGAATAATGTCCTTGAGTTATGTGTGCAAACTTAGAGAATAAATCACTTTTTATATTGAATGAAACCAAATTACTTCCAGGAGGCAGAGTTCCTGTTCTCTTTAAAGTACAATTAATTTCTGGCAATACAATACAATGAACTATCTTATTGATATTTTCAATTCATATAGAAAGAAATAATGTATAAAAATAGCATTTTCATCTAAACCTGAGAGTGCATAATTAAAACTCCCAAGATGATTTTACAGAGCAGGCAAGTTTGTGAACAAAGAGAGTTTGTAACTTTTCTGGATCAATATTTTAGTTCACAGCAGAACCAAGATTATGCTTAACGATTATTAGCATATAATTTCCCAATTTTAACTACTTGGAGGCCTTCTATGTAAGGATCAGAGTGCTGCCACAAATTAATTTTGTAGGGAAGGTAGTAATATAGAGGGTTTTTCACCCAATTTCAATTCTAGGTAACTTTTTTTCCTCCAGTTGGTTAAAACTAGAGCAAAATAGTCTAGCGTAATTGTCCCCACAGAGATTCAAAATAATAAAATAGAAAAAAGTTGTAGAGACTTAAGTTAATTTAGACTCTTAAGACAGTGCTTTCAAAGTATATTTAGCTTGAGAGGTATATTTTCACTTGCACTGTGATTCTCCTATCAGATTTCATATACTGCTGCTGTTCTAAGACAAGGAAGGGGAAGAGAAATAAAAAATATCAAATTTTTTTGTGAGAAAAGGTTAAACTATTAAAATAAGAATTTTGTTGGCTTGTTTGGGTTCTCCTTGCTTTTTCCCCCTAGCCAAATAGTAACAATATTGCATGATGACTTCTGCAGAGACAACAGACAGCAGGTTGAGAGACCTAAGACTAAATGTATTTTTATGGTGGGAATTCTGAGGTTTTAAACTTGAAGACATTGATGAGGTTCTGCTCAATTTTCCCTGATAAATGTTCAGCTCAAACCCTAGTTAGAAACTAAAAGCAAAAAACTAGACTATTTTAATATAAAGAAAGGGTAAATAGATATATTTTTATCCTCATATTATTTTTTTGAATGTGTAAAATCCTTTGGGAAAAAAATCTGCTAATCTTTGAGCCATGAAACCAACCCCAAACCAACAAACAAACCCAACATCCAAGAGTAATCCCTCAAAAACAAACAAACAAGCTAACAAAACAACCATTATAAAAAAAATAAACCAACAACCAAAAAACCCCACAAATCTAATTTATGTAATACAAACACCATGGAAAAATTGTTAAAACTTGGCAAGACTGCAAGAACTGAATGGATAATCTGTTAAAAGGATGTCTTGAATAATCTTAAGATTACAGAGGCATACATGCTTCCTCCAAAGCATGGAGATTACCAATATAGTATCTTATATTCTCCTTTTATATGTTAATTATCATTAGCATAAAACTAAAATAAATTCTATATTATGTTTATGTAATTTTTCTATGTATCTTTCTTTTCTACTATCCAAAGAGACATATTTTTATTTTCTGTATTTTCTGATATTTATTTACCAGATTTTAAATTTTGAGCATTAATCTTCATTAATGTTGCACTGGAAAGAGAATAATGCCTGTAGAAAAAAAGTTGGAAAGTAATTTGCTGTAGGAAAATCAATTTTAGATTGTTTTTATTAAGCTAATGTGTAACCTCAAACCTTATTAATGGAATAACCATGGTTATAGTATTGATAATTTTAACAAATCTAAGCAATTATAAAGAAATGCATCCAGTTCCATGAAATGAATGTTAATTCAATGATGAATCATTTGTATTTGATGATCATAAAGGAATTTGCTGCACTAATCTGTTTTCTTCCTCTGCTTTTATAGAAAGCTTTTCCTCTTTGCATCCCCATATTTACAAACATCTATGTCCAATAATCAGTCAGCAATAGTCAGATTCTATTGCTTCTGCCCTGATGCATTTTCATCAGTCATCACAAGGCATTCTGGCCCCTTTCAAACAGGAAAATATATCCTTTTTTATTATTTTAATTGTTTTGATTTCTCCCTCCTAGAACTGAAATCCTAAAATATGGTCTGATGTTTTTTATTACTTTCTAAACATAAAAGTAATTTGTTTTCCAAAAGAAATTTTTATGTTCAAATAAACTTCTCAAGTCATAATTTAAATTGCTCTGGTGTGCCATAGGAGTTCTTCTATCCAGATGTCCCTGGAGTTTACTGGTGTCCACAGAAATTCACAAATTTTAATTTCCAGGAGAGAGCTTAAAATTGATTTTCTTCAAAACACTGTTGGGGTGTAGGGAGAGGAAGATTGAACACACTTGAAAGCTTAAGCTTTTATTGGGCTGCTTTTCTGACATCAAATGTGCTTCTTTCAGACTGTACTATTTGAGGTTTAAGTCAATTGATATTCATGTGGCGTATATGTAAGTTAATTATTTGTGGTTTTTACAAGAATTGAACAAGCATTTACTTGTTTTGTTGTATATCTAATGTCTGACTATTTTATTGTCAGTGGTGATAGAAAGCTTTTGTTTTGTATTTTTCAGATCTCAGGATAGAGTTGTTTTGATTGTGTTCCAAACCTGCAAGCTCAGGGTGAGTAATAAGTTTTGTTATTTCTTTATCCTGAATTGGAATGGTTCTGTGAATAATTATGATCATATTTCGTCACACATAAAAAGCCCAAAGAAGTCCCACCGAGTCTGTGATAACATTAACCAGTAATATCAGTGATTAATTAATCTCTATTTGTTTCAAGATATTGTGAGGAAGAAGTTTTTTAGGCTTACCTCATAACAATAAAATGAAATTGTTCGTGTTTTGTTTTTTTGTAGTATTTTAACATCGTTTGACTGAAGACATCATTTCATAACTGTACTTCAATGCACTATGTGTAATTTGAACATTTTGCATTTTGAGACTTACATTAACACAGGCATCAAACAGAAAATGATGTAATTTCAGAGAGAGAGAGATAGCATGAACCAAGGAGACAACGATCTGCAAAATGACAGAGGTTCTCCAGTTGTAAACTGCATTTCTGTACATTAAATAACTGGTGAGAAACCCTCTTTTGGGAGTGAATCAGGGCCAAGCAGCAGAAAACAGTAATACAGCCATGTTACAGGTTCTATCAAAATTATTTCTCACTGTCAGGATTTTTATCTTACAATGTGAGGGATAAGACAGATACCTGTTGTAATGAAAACTAAAATGACTGAAAACCTATGGTTGCCATAAATCAATTTTTATGCTTTTCCATAAACTTAAGTTTTTTGAGAAATGTTATGTTTACCATGAAGTCAATTGAACAAAACACAATGATATTTAGCATGTTCCTGAAATAATTTAATAAGTAATGCAATAAAGCTATTGAGGCAAACAAGCCTAAACAGGTTACCAGAGTATTCTCCTGTGTTTTAAGCTCGTTTCGTAATATTAGACTTAACAAAGTAAAGTGCTTGTTTCATAACAAGGGACAATATGATTAGCATGCAATTGAGATCAAACTCTTGAGTAAACCTTATTTGTACAACACAAATAGCTGTCATACTGTGCATAGATGGGCAGCAAACAGCACTTCTAGGCAGTGGAAACTAAACCCAGGAGAGCACATCTGTCAGCTTTGCTTTGTGTTTCCACTCACTGTGTGAAGGTAGTAGGTCAGTTTTTCCATGCTGCTACTTTTGTATTGAGTTGCAAATTTTTTATGGCATATTTCTGTTTCAAAGGCTTCTTGTGAAAGCCTAAAATTTAAAATTTTGTGTTATCAATTAAAAAAAATAATGTAAAATATTCTTCCTTAATATTTAGGCAGCTCTGGTGGACTTTGTTTTCGTTTTGTTTCTGCTGGTTTTCCATGAGTTTATTTCTTGTTCATTTGCTCAGTCCTTCAGAATGAGATTGATCATTGCTATCCCATAATTCTTTATAAGTAAGCAAATCTACTATCATCACAACTGCTAACTGTATAGATAATGCTTTGTGAAGTTTGTTAATTTCTGGTGGTTGAGGAAACACTGTCAGCGTTTAATAAAAATACACTGAAGTCACTGTTAGAGAAGCCTCACTATAATTCTGGTATATTAGTTAATATATGATTCCTGGTAACATTTTCCTCTTATGTTTTGACAAACTGGTGCTATAAAATACACGCAAGCATATATGTGTGCGTTTATTGTGTGTAATAAAGCTTGATTTTCAAAGAAAGTATACAAAGACAATGGTATATCATGGTTTGAGGAGCTTTTATTTTACAGACTTTTGTGGGTATGAATACAGGAGGCAGCTAAGCTAACTGCATTAACTAATTAATATATATAATAAAATTATGGTAAATTAACAGGGAGGAGGATTTGATATTAAAAAAAATAATACAAATAGACCTCCCCAAGCAATACAAAAGAGAAATCATTAACTTTTGAGGGAAAATCCAGGAAAAAACCTCTCAAACCTTCAGAAAACAAAAAAAAAAAGAAGAAGAAAAAAGCCACAAACCCACAAAAAACCCAATTTGCCTCTTCTTTAAATTGGATCACTTAAGTTCAGCCTAGTTGAAGCAATTAAAAAATGCATCTGGTAGGGATTTAATATGTAAGAGGGCTCTTTTCCAACATTATCATCTTACCAATCTACTTAAAATAGAAAGATAAATAGTCTAATTAATTCCTTGCTTGAATTAATAAAGTTCAATTATGGCAGTAAAGCATGGGATTCTCCTCAGCATTGTTTGTAAACTGTATGTACAGCAGATTTTTAAATTGTTTTATTGGAATGAAATTTATATACATAAAAGTGATCCAGCTGACTGAAGTAGAACAGAGCAGCAGAACAGTAGAACAGACAATGGGCATTAAAGCTACTAGGCATTAAAGAATCCTTGAAAAATTTGGATCAAAACCATGCTTGGTTGAGTTAGAATTTTAAAGAAATATTTGTGGTGTGTCTGATTTAATAATTTATTATAATAACTCTAAAAACAGGACACGCAAAGCTAAGAAATACTAGTACTGATTTTCTAAATCTTACTGAGTTGTTTCCCTTTTTTCTGATAATGATGTTATATTATGTATATATTTAAGAAATTTTACCCAATAAATAAATAATTTCAAATGTCTTCTTTACTTAAGAATTACATGATTGTTCTCATGGAGATTTGAAAAAAAGGAAAATTAGCTGATAGAGAACTAATGGATGAAAATAAATATTTCACTGGAAAATGAATACCAGAAACTTATCCAACATTATGTCAAGGTCCTGTCCATGCCAACCTCTAATGGCAGTATTTACATTTTTATACAAAAGAAATAAATAACAGTTAAAAATAAATAAATCTAAGTAAAAGAAAGCACCCACAAAAACAAAAACATAAACCCAAAAAAATAATTTTTCTCTGCTTTACTTATTTTTACCATTTTTTCTAGTTCTCTCATAGTTTATTTATGACTTTTTTAACTCCTTTGATATACTTTTTTATCTGTTGCCTCACGTGATTAAAAAAGGAAAATAAAATTTCAGGACTATGGCAAATTTTCTCAAAAAATCTACAAATCAGCAACTTAAATTTGCAAATATTCCTTTAGAAGCAAATATTTATTTAAAAAAAATATACAGTAAAAGAAAGCAAAAAACATCAGTTTCCTGACACCTTGTGGATGATATGAGATGGTATGAGTCTGTAAGGGGCAGCATGGGATTTCAGAAGTTTTGAAGGATGTGTCTCTCCATTCAGGACGTTAAGCAACTGAATCAATTCTGCTAACTTTCCATAGTTGTCTTTTTCACCTTTTTGAAAGCAGTGGCAGGAAGGAAGTAGACATGAAGAGTGAGCTTGAGTTTTATTGTACGTTCAGCTTGTGATGTCTAGTTCTCCAAACTGACACTTATGAAAATAATTTCCGTCAACCTGTGTGTGTGACAATATTTCATCATCCCAGAAATACCATAATTTTAATTTTTTATAACTTCTTATATTTTTATATGATCTAGAAAATCAATATAATAGCAAACACCAATTTTTCAATTTTAAAATTAATCTTTTTGAAGACAGACTTTGGAGACATAATCTCAAAATGCCATTTAACATGCATTCCTCTGAGTCGTGTATCACAAATTATCAGATATATTTCTATAAGTATGCTTGTATGTTAGCTGGAAACACCTTGACGCTAATAACTACATTTAACATTGTATTTGGAGAACACTTTACTTCTGATTGCTTATTTACATATGAATGGATGAAAATAAATACAAATAAGTATGGACATATATATTTAAAAGCATATTAGTGTTCCTGAATGCATTCAGATTTGATCCTGCATAGTCTCTGAGTGCATTTTTGCTTTATAGATAGTCAAGTATACATGCATACATAGAAATGTGTATTTATGCATTTCTAATGTGTAAAGTAGTACTTTCTTAAAAGCACTGTAAAAGTGCTTAACCACTTGTTCTTTTTAATGTAAATTTTTAGCATAAGGGCAATAAAACATAGAGAAGTAGTACAGCAAATTTGTCTTTTAATAGTTTTCATCCTGGGTTCACTAATGTGTGAAAATTTATGGACAGATTTTTTGCATGTCATATTATATGTAAAAGTAAAAGGTTGTATGTAAATTGCAAGTAAGTTTGGGAGTTCTTTCACTGTTCTTTTCTGGGGTTTTTTTGAAGTCACAAAAAATAACTCCTTCTAGAAAAATTCTATCTTTCTTAAATATTAAAATGTACCACCTAAAAAAATTATTTACTTTATTTGAAACACCAAATAGTCACTACATTAGTTTTTTCATTAAGGAATAGGACCAATGCAAGTTAACCAACTTGGATAAAATGTGACATGGAAAACAAAAACCCATTACACTGAAAACACTTTCTTTTTCTAATAAGGATACTTGGAAAATATTGATTAAAAAGTCCTACCATGGCCGCAGCCTAGGGCAAATTATCATTAGAATGACAATATGCAATCTTGATTATATTCTCTTGTTTACCTCTGAGAGTGCCATTGCATCTCTTGGGAGTATGATTATTTCTGAAATTAAAATCAGCTTTAAAAGAAAAGGTAGCTTGAATCTAATTTTCAGATTGATAGAGCTAAACATACAATGAGAGTAAATCTCTTCTAATGTAAACCAGAGACCAACATTATAACCCTCATGACTTTTCAATGCTGATTATATCCTGTTCTTTACAAAGAACTTTGCTAGTTTTCGGCCAGTGATGGCTTAAGGGACAGGACTTGTGGACAAGAGACAGGGCTTATCCTATGTAGCTGCAAAGGAAACAAATTTGGTTGAATCTAAAGGAAGCTAAGCAAGGAAGAAATACTGGTGGTATACATCTAAATGGGCATAAATTTTGGAATAATTTTCTCCAGTTAAATTATTTGATGGGTGGGAGACATGGCTCTCCTTTGACATACTAGAAATCACTTGTAATGGACACAGTAGTGGGCTCAATTATCAATGGATTATTAGAAATGTTCCTAGACTGATTTTCTAAAATATCTTTGAACTTCTTTATCAATTCACAGCCATCCCATTAAACACAAATTTTCTTGGTTGTTTTCAGGATATGGGAAATAGGAAGAAATATTT